TGTCTGTCTGTCTGTGTGTGTGTGTGTGTGTGTGTGTGTGTGTGTGTGTGTGTGTGTGTGTGTGTGTGTGTTACCCGTGTCCGAAGGGGGGGATGAAGTATAGGCAGCAGTGCACTCTGTTGTCTTGGATGTTCTTCCTGTTCAGGCCGCTCTCATCTCTGAAGTAATGTTCAAACTGCTGCTCGATGTAGTCAGTGATCGTACTCCAGCTGCAACACACACACACACACACACACACACACACACACACACACACACACACACACACACACACACAGACACACAAAGATTTACAGTAAGAGATTCACCTCGACGTTTCTCCCCATAGGAATGAATGGAATGTCGTCGTGAACAGAGCTCAAAATCACCCAAATTTGCGGTCATACTGACTCGCCATACTTTAACGTAGAAAAGAGATTTAAAGTTTGAACAGGTCTCCAGACTCTCGACCTTATTGGGCTCAAATGTTGTTTTGATAAATCAAACGGTTTTCCTAAAATCACCGTTTAAGTGTTGTGAACTTTTCCAGAGCGTTTCAGATTGTACAATGGGTGTGTGTGGGACGGAGTGTTCAGAGAGGACGACATCACGTCTTCAAAATGTCCTGAAAACACCTTGAACCTGCTCCCATAATATTCACTGGTTCTACTTGTGCTTTGGATGGCTTCAGTAGCTAAATCAGTCAGCGTTGTCTTGATGTCTTCGTCGTACGAAACTGACGGATAAATCTGACCCAAAACATTGTTTGAGTGACAAAAACTCGCCCATAGTTAAATGTTCAGAATTAGACGTACTCTCATGATAAAAAGTGAAAGTTAAATATTCTGTTATTCTACCATCAGAACAGATGTGTAATAATAACGTTCCCCTCACCACTCTGAGTTGTTTACAGCGTCTCCGAACCCGGGCGTGTCCACGATGGTGAGCCTCAGCTTCACTCCTTTCTCCTCGATGTCCACCGTGTGCTTCATGATCTCCACCGTCTGATGGATGCGCTCTGGGAGGAAGAACAAGATGAAGAAACAGAAAAGACTCTAATGCTATTTGAGTAAATGCACTTCTGACGTACCTTCAGCGTTGAGAAGTTTCCTGTCTTTGTGGAGGTCGGTGAGGAACAGACTGTTCACCAGAGTGGATTTACCCAGACCAGACTCTCCTGGAATACACAACGAACATGTACACAACATTCAAGACGTCAGCTATTCTGCAAAATCCACTTTTTCAAGTCTTTTCCCCACAAAGGTGTGTCCCCTTCGTGTGAAGAGACCCCCTCTCTTTTTGTCCTGATCCATCTCGATAAAAACCTGTCAGCTGATCAGGACTGAAAGCGTAATTAAATTAAAGAAGGACAGCTTTTGTGACTCATTTCCTTCCTTCAGATGAACGTTAGTGTTTTAGCAGCGTCTCATGCTTTCACAGGAGAAACGTGTGAAAACTGAGACATGAGGAGGAGGAGGAGGAAGAGGAGGAGGAAGAGGTGAGAAAAGCGGCAGGGTTTCAGAACAGAGGGATTCATGGATCTGCATGTTGCAGACGGAAAGATTAGAGCATCCTGTTTGCAGTGGGGAAGACGTGCTTGAGACTTCAACATTTGGTTTGTTTTAAATACAAAAACATTATATATAAAATACATTAACATATAATAAAATACAATAAGATACAATAATAATAAAATAATAAAATGCAACAATTTTAAATAAATACATGAAATCAAATTAAATTACAAATAAATACAACAAGTACGAACACATAGATATAATAAATAAAATAAATAAAATAAATAAAATAAATAAAATAAAATAAATAAAAATAAAATACAATGAAATACATTAAATTAGATTAAATTAAAAATGCATTTCCTTCTAAAATGAAGTCACTGTCACAAAATCCCTTCATCCCGATTCGATGAATGAGGCTCTCTGATCCTGAATGATTAGTGCAGTAAAGTGTGCAGGACTGCTGTGAATACACTGAGGGGTTATTGCATGCAGTCAGCGGACACCATGGGTTAAAGCCCCCAAGAAAGACCCTCCTCTCACCGGCCACCATCAGCGTGAAGTCGAACCCTTTCTTCACCGACTTCCTGTGCAGCTGGTTGGGCAGCGAGGCGAAACCAACGTAGTCCTTCTCCTGTAAACAACAACAAGACACAAGTACATTACATCAGTCATCTATTATAATTATTATTAATAACTTGTAAATGTAATTATTTAAATTCTCTCTTTGCATAAATGAAGTTATTTTATCCATGTTTTCCGGTTTATTCCATGTATATGTTATTGTCTTATTTAAATCACGTTATGCTGCATTTGGACATGAACCTCTAAGAGAGAGAGAGAGAGGGACGGAGAGATGCAGAAACACTCATCATGTACTGTACATACAGTATGTAGGTCAGAATAAATCACAATGTTCTTCCGGGTAAGATCTCCTTCCTCCTCCTCAAGTCCTTTTCTTCTAGTAGGACATTACCCATGATGCATTTCATGTTTTATTGAAGAGCGTGCCCTGAGGGTTCTCTCCATGTTTTCATAAGGCTGCACGGAGAGCAGCGAGGGGAGGGAGGAGCGTCTTAACATCGGGCGAAACTGAGGGAGACGAGACATTTTCTCCCACAATGCATTTCATTAGTCCAGATATTTCTTTACACAAAATCTAACGAGCTTTGTGTGGAGATGTGTCGTGGTGTTTTTGAGGATTTATTGCATCTACATCTCATATTTTATGGGTTTAAAAAGAACATTTCGTACGTGCTTTGAGACAGTTGAGTTTGTTTTCGCTTCCTTTTTATACTTTGGGTATTTAAATGGATTATTTTATATACATTATACCCACAAAGATCACATGTTTCCCCTTTTCTCACCTCAAATAGCTTCAATTTCTCAACTTGTTTTATAACACACAACCCCCAAACATTTCCAAATATTCTTCGATTTTAAGTTCTCCAGTTTCAAGATTTGTACGTCATTAGACAACAGATGCAACCATATATTTAAATAAAACGCCCATCATGCATCAGACCTCTTAATGCATGATCTAAATGGAGATGTGTGAGGGTGTTTCGGAGGCCTTTTTGTTTCCATTATGCCATTTTTTTGTCTGTGCATGTAGGTCCCTCCCACACACACATCTCACACACATCCCACACACATGTCACACACATCCCACACACATCCAGACTGTGGGTTCACACCACGCTGCGTCTGAACCTCTGACTAACCGTGCAACACGAAGGGAGAGCTCAGGATGGATGGAGGATGCTCGAGGGACTTCGGTTTGTTTTACATCCCAAAATAAAGAGGCTCAAAGGAAGGCGGAGAGGAGAGGAGCCAAACAGGAACATGTCTGTATCTAGATCCATGATGTACACCAGAATGAAGATCATTTATCTTTAAAAAGTACATTTCTGATTTGATTTGGGACGATAGAGCTTACAGAGGAATATTTTTGATCACTTTCTCCACTTTGGGTGATTTCATGGATTATTTATTACACAAACGACCCCCTAAATACACGGTTTATCCCTTTTCTCTGACCTGCACAGGGTTCCTGCAGGTTTCACCGACTCAAATGCAAGACCTTTTAAGACCTGTTTAAAACCACTTTGAATAGAATTTAGGACCTATTTCACAGCAAGAAAGTATGAAGGAAAATTGCAAGGAAAGAAGAAATTCGTCCCATAATTCCTTACAAAGCAAATGTGTTCATGTTCAACATAAGAACGACGACTGAACATAACAGTACACTGAACTGTGTGTGTGTCTGTGTGTGTTGACGTAGACCCAAGCGTCGCCCGGAGGTCCCCCGATGTTGTTGCGGGAGCTAACGCTTCAAACGGGCTTCAAACACGTTCCCTCCACTAGTTTCAACCAAGCCGGGGGAAACAAAGTTAAAACAAATTACTGGTTCCATGTTGATTTAATTCAATACAAATTGTTGGGGGGAACTGAAAGGCTCTCAGCGTACTGGTTACTTTGCAGCCCGAACATTTCCCCCAAAACACATTTAGACGCGATCGCAACACAGAAGTACCTTTCAAATCCATTTTTAAGGCCTTAAATTCTGATTGTCAAATGTAAGACTTTTTAAGACCCCGCGGGAACCCTGCTTGCAGTTTTAGACTAAATTCGTTAAAGCTGATTTGATTCAAGTCATCTGCAGGTATTTTTGATACTTTTCTTAACTTTCTTTTGCAATTTTCCAAATATTGTATGATTTTAGCTCCTCCTGCTGTACGAAAATGTGCTGCGTTTATCTGTTTAACGTCACTAAACATTACATTTGTCCAAGCTTTGTCAGATAAAGGAGACATTTGAAGGACATTTCACATGCATTGTTCAGAAATGTTGTAAAATGTTGATTATAAAGTCCCAAAAGCCCAAAGTGATGCATTCAAATGTCTCTTTCGGTCCGACCAACCGTCCAAAACCAAAACATAATGTAGTTATAAACAAAGAGTCAGAGCACGTTGAAGCCGGAGCAATCACAGAGTAATTGACTATTAATTGATTATTACACTCGCTGTAAATGTGCTTTCTGTCCACTGATGGATCTTGAGTCAGAGATGTTACTCACTGCAGGAAATATATTTCAGTAGGCTAGTTGGTTATGAGCAGCTTCTGATTTTATAAACCGAGAATCAATAAGAGGACACACACACACACACACACACACACACACACACACACACACACACACTCTACTTGCCTCTGCATCATCTGAAGGTACATTCCAGGAGACATCAGTCCGCGTGCAGAGATCCACCCGGAAGAGGAAATAAAAATACAAATATGTGTGCATTTATTTCCATGAATCGATCATTCTCCATCTGTGTGTGTGTGTTTAATGTGTGTGTGTTTAATGTGTGTGTGTGTGTGTGTGTGTGTGTGTGTGTGTGTGTGTGTGTGTGTGTGTGTGTGTGTGTGTGTGTGTGTGTGTGTGTGTGTGTGTGTGTGTGTGTGTGTGTGTGTGTGTGTGTGTGTGCGTGTGTGTGTGTGTGTGTGTGTGTGTGTGCGTGTGTGTGGAGAGACATTAACACTGTGTTTTTGAAAAGAATGAGTAGAGAATTTTACGAATATAATTAGACAATTAGTTGTTGAGTTGACCACAGAAAATGTATTAATGAGAACTGCTGCTATTAATATTTGTTAAATTAAATGTTACTTTTATTTTTTTGACTGCTAAACAAAAACACACAAGACCATAAGTGCTTCACATTGGACTCTGTGAACAATTATAATTATAATGTTGTAAGCTGCAGCTCTAGTTTCTTTCTTTCCCCCCTGATGGCAATGCAGAAAATCAACTATTATGGTTAAATTCATGTTTTGATTAGACGTCCTGAGCTGTGGTCGGATTCTCCCTTATCCCGTTGCCTGTATATTCACACTCAAACTGCACAATAACACATTCATAGGAAATGCCCACACCTTCAAACATTCAACAGTTGACCCAGGGTCTCAGGAAGTATCTCTGTAAACACTTTAGTGTGGCAATGCATGTACAAAACAAAACACACAATTCATCCTCCATGAAGAAACAACACACTGTTAAAGCGGCTTCCAGGCGCACACACACACACGTATGTGATTACACTGTTGTATTGCTC